GAGGGAAATTCATCCAACTTGGTAGATAATCGCTTTGGTAAAGTTCGTAACGGTGACGCGGGTGAAATGGGTGAGTTTCTAATCTTTGAGTTCTCGGGAAGTTTAACCAGTCGAACACTCCTCAAAAGTCTATGATCACTTATGGGAAACCGTTAAAACAAGATAGATGCTCAGCTGTGATTATTTTAAAATAAGTTAATCACAAGTTGGAAATGCGTACTGTCATTTTAAATCGTTACATTTTACTCCAACAGTTCCAATTAATTTGACGTCCTCTTCTTAAACAAACCATCCCGTGGAAATCTATTATTGGAAGGAGATTCTTTTATTCCCGCGGGTTTCGCGTAAGTGTCTCTGCTTACGGGCCTGTCCATCTCTTTTTGGCCTTTCATACAGCAGTATGTTGAATTCAGAATGATGACGAAATTTGATCTTGCTGTTGAGTGGAACCGCATGCAAAGCCAAGCTAGGATGGGGGCTATTTACATATATGTAAGATAAACACAAGTTCAAAATCTTTTTGTTTTACATCGAAGTATGTAACTCACCGTATTGCATGCGTACCTACTGTAAAAGAAGATCTAAAATGTATTGATTAAGTTTATATATATAACGGCGCCGGTGGTGTAGTGGTAAGCATGATTACCTCTCACCCCAGCAGGCCTGGGTTCAATCCCAGTCGGCGCCGCCGGGATGTTCTGAGGCATAACATCTCTGATCACGCCTTCCTTCGGATGGGAAGTAAAGCCGTTGGTCCCCGGTTCATGAGTTGATGGGTCGATAGGTAGGGTCCAGGTGTGTGGGAGCTGCCTTCCTGGCACGTCGGTAGCATTGGTGCTCAGCACGGAAAACAAGATCGACGGAAAAAACAAAACAAAGGAATCATAAAAATTAATTCATAGAAAATCAAGTTTGCGCACCAATAAATATAGGAATCATCAAAAAAATTAAATTGAATCCACAATATTATTCTCAGTAAACAAAATCGGTCACTGCTAAGCCACCGAGCTCCTTTCATCACAACAAACCATTACGACTAACGATCGCTAAATCCTGGAAACATGAAGCTATTTTAATGGAATCGATTTTGCCCGGGTGCTCATCGTATTTTTTGCACGGTTTTATATAAACAATAAAATTTGATAAAGCATGTTTGATTTTAGCAATACATGTTGCTGGAAAAAAAGTGTACAACAAAATTAAATTGTCAATTTTTGCGACTTTTGTGAACTTTATTCCAGGATGGTCTAAAAATAATCATAAGTGCCAATTTGTATCTAATCTTAACCCATACTTTTAGAAAAATCTAAAATAAAATGGTTCTAACAAATGTTCAAGTTAATGATGATTATTGAAAAACTTTTATCGAATAAAATGGTAGATCTCTACCAAGACTAAGTTTTCAACCATAATTTTGAAAGTCGTTAAAGATAAATAGCACGCAACATAAAGCTGTTCTTTTATTTTGGTTTGCTTAATTTTCAGAGTCACACAATATTGTTAAATTTTCTAAATGCTAATAGCTTAGAGTTGATTATATGGACAACATTAAAAGGCTTTAGATTCCTTGAACGATTCGTAAAACCAATTTATCGCTTTTCCCCCCTGGTTAATTATTGATTCTGGTTTTCTTCCTAATGTTATTGAGCATGATTTCCATCATCATTATCAATAATTTGAATGAGATAACTTGAAGCTTGTTACTAAGAAAATTCTTGGGAAAATTAAAAAAAAATGTTGTTAGGGTTTCTAGGGAAATTAAAAAGATCCGGTAGTGGAAAATCATAAGATTGTAAGACTAAAAACTAACTTAATTTTAATATGACCCTAGCGTTTTGAAAGGTTCTGGCACTCTGGATACATTATTTATAAACGTATTTTATTTTTATACAAATTCATACAATACCAATGACATATGCCGAAGTATGACTGAAAATTCAATATCGGTCAAGCAACGATCGACTTAGTAATCCGTACGGTATAATAGCGTCACAGACAAACAGACATAACACATAGAATATTGCTCAATGTAAAACATCGTCACTAAAACATTACCGCCATCTGTTGAGTACACTGTGGTGGGTAGTACGCTGAACAGATGGCGGTAGTGTTTAAACGTCAAACGCAAAGGAATTGACTATGCGCGCTGCAGGTGGCGGTACTACCAACTACGATATTTTTGAATTGACCGTTAAATTCTTGTTCGATGAACAACTTGCGAGTGTTATGTCTGTTTGTCTGTGATAGCGTTATAACACAATTATTAACAGAGTTAACAACATGCTTGGTTTCATAAAACGTTTCTGCTGAGCGTCGTGAATTTGCTATGATGTCATTCTTAAACGATATCGTATTGATTCAATAGAACTATTGTCATCCTTAAATGTATACACACCATCCTCTTTGATAATGTACCCAGCAACCAAACCTTTGCCGTCAAATGCGTAACAGTATTGAAGTAGTACATTTAAATTCTCGCAATGACCGAATACCACGGCCCTTATTACCAATGTCACTTCACGGTGAAGTGACAACTTATCATTCACGGTGAAGTGATTTCCATTTGATTTACACGGCAATCACTTCATCGTGAGAGACAAGTGGTCACTTCACTTCATTTTCACCGTGAAGTGTCATCCGTAATAAGGGCCCACATGACCATGTCAATTAACCAGGGACACTTCGTAAGGTTTTCTCTAGGACGCTAGAAAAAGCAAAAATATCTCGAAATTATATGATTGATCGCGATTGGAAAAATTTGAGCAAGAAATTCCTCCAATCAATATTTGTTTTTTTTTTTTATTATCTATTGAATGAAACAAAAAATCCGTGCGTTTTGTGCACGTAAATGCGTAATTTTGTCATCAGAAAACGAGGCGTTTCCGTAATGGGAAAAGTGGTTTCCCTAACACAGTCGCCGAATATTGATATCAAGCACTGAGCGTGCCAGACGGTACCGATCTTTATGCCTTTTGGTTTAAAATTTAAGCCCCTCCTATTAAGAACATTATGTCAAAAAATAACCTTGCCGAATTCTCTTAATAGCAGGGGCTTAAAATATGCATCAAAAAGTATAAACGTAGGTACCGTCCGGTAGGCTCATATTCTGTGATTGATGTGTTTTCTCTAAAAGATTTTCAATTTTATCTAGATGAACACGTCATTGGGACAATACTAATGGATATTTTTGGTCGCCATTCAAATTTGAGTTGATTGCTGAATTTATGTATGGGCCCAAATTAGGGGCATTTAGGCCGACATTACATCCATTTCCCCTACATATTTAATATCCGCACTGCTAGCATTTCTAAAAACATTGAGGAAAAATTTTCACAGTATTGTTCTTAACTAGCTTCCAAGCTTCCAACCCATCGGTCCTTTTTTGGACCATAAATGACTAAAAAAAGATAAAAAAAAGATTAAGAGCTTGAATCTAAAGCTGAAGAGCCAGGTAGGCTAATCAATTTAAATGTTAAATCAATGTAGTACCATAATCAACAGAAATAAACATAATTTTACAACTTGAATCCAAAACATATCATCCAGGGTTGGCTTGTACTACATGGACATCGACAGAGCACCTTAAATACAGAACTCTCAAATTGCTTCCGAATTTCAACCTATCGAAATTTATCTTAGTGATTTTACGAATTAAGAATTCAATTTAATATTTACCATAATTTTTCTGTGACATCATAACTACCTTTCGTAATCCTACGTCAAATCTACGGTCGTGTCTTGGATACAACCTCTTAATTGTTTTATTTGTTTTCAAGACATAGGAGAAATGGCTCTAATGTTGGCCTATGGATCCCAATCTTAGCCCATCGCTAAAAATCAGCTATTTATCAATTTTTTATCTAGATGAACGCGTCATTGGGACGGCACTAATGGATACTTTTGGTCGCTATTGAAAATTTAGTCGATTGCTGAATTTATGTATGGGCCCAAATTAGGGACATTTAGGCCGACATGACATACATTTCCCCTATTGTAATTTATATTACAAAGGCAAAATTGTAACATAGGCGCCGGACGATGTAATGAATGGTTCATATAATATAGTGTAATGGAAAGATCTCACCAACTGCCTCCAATGTTAGCCAAATTCATAATTTATAGATAAAAATGGAATGATCGCACCAAAACTTTTCCGAGCTCTGAAAAACTGCTCGCTTTGGTCACTTTTTCTTGATGTGGCTGCATTACACGATTGGATGTTGGAGGTTTAAAGGAGATTTATTTTTTTGTAACTACGACTTGATCGGGGATCGAGAGGTTGTGCAAGGGGGCAACCAAGGGGTTGGTCACTCTACACAGTGTGCCAAAATCAAACTTGGGCACACCCGGGTGCAGTCATTGGCGTTGTTTGGCACCCATGGTTTCAATTTTTATGATTTTTAAAGTTACTGGCAACACTGAACTTTTCTGCGCCTGTGCAGTGTGCATATGTCAAAATTAGTCAAATTATTTTCAAATCAACCGTGAATCTCCACCAAGTCTCGCCATGGATTCTCAAAATCGTTTCACCCGTGACGGCAGTCGCATCCACATTTCCTCTCAGACGAAGAACAGCTAACAGCGGTATCTTGACCTGACCGAGGTTTCTGGCCATGGCTACACGAACTAGTGATGCAGCTCCAACGGCTGCGGCTGCTTCCAATGCTGCTGCTGGTCCGTATTTTTTTTTAATTTTAGAGGAGACGGACCAGCAGAAGGAACAGCAGCAGCAGCATTGGAAGTAGCGGCAGTCGTGGGAGCTACATCGCTAATTCGTGTAGCCGTGGCCGACGCTGGAAATCTTGGGCCGGTTACGACAAGCGGTGCTTGAGTGTTAATCGGAAAGTCAACAACCAAACAAAAACTATACCATCCGACCATTCGAACTGCTCGAATACATCCATGGCGGTGGCTGCTACACCAACCATTCCATCGTCCAACATATAATGTTGAAGGACCGTCTTAGCAAAATCTCAAATAGTTCAACAAATTATTTTTACTCTCCTGCCAACTAACAGCTTCATAATGAACGGGAGTTTTGTGCATTTGTGATCGATCGCGCTGTGGTTGCACTTCATGATGGCGTTCACCGCCGCCCTGGCTCGGGAACTCGACCAATCCGGAGGAGGAACTTTCCGATTTCAGCGGGAACATTCGCACTTGCGACGGGTTGCAGTCTTTGGTGGTGAATGCAGTCAGCAGCAGATCCTCGGACGGCATACGGGTGGGAAAAAGTGGAGAATGCGATTTTTGCTGGCCTGGGAAGTAGTTTTTTGGAGGCGCTGTAGACCTTGAAGCTGCTCGAATTGTCCGGCAGGGTGTGGGGTTGGTGGACTCTGACAAGTAGTTCTGCTTGGAAAATTGGCTGGTCCGTTTCGGGTAAGTGGTGCGTCCTTCATCAGTCCGACGTGTGTTCCGGCCGGTGTTGGTTTCCAGTTTTCTGACGGACGATACTCGGGCGGTGAAAAATTCGGTGCAAATCCGTTTCCTCCGCCGGCTCCCAGAAGGGTTGGTTGACTAATGATTGACGTTCTTTGTGCGGGGTCGGCCTTCCGCCGAAGATGGAAGGATCGTGTAGCAACGGAGCTCGTCCGTTGCAGGCATCCTTGGAGACGGATGTGTAGTCACAACTGGAGACCGTGTCGTTTTTGAAAACATTGAAAAACAAAACAAAAACAAGAGCTGTTAATATACCGGGTTGCCAAACAAGGTATTATTCACAAGCAAGTCACAAGTCAGTTCAATGACTTCTTGGCACTGCCGGTACAGCTGCGGCACACTGAGGTACACTGAGAAATAAGTTGGCGCAAAACAAGTGTGCAGAGTGACCACCCCTTGGGGGCAACTCAATTTTTTCTATACATTACGTGGTATTATGGAGACCAAAACCGATGGTTTTCATGACTGTGATCGATCATCACAAACTTTTTCATCTTCTCTCTTTTTTTCAGCCGCTCACTTCTTGATGATAAGATCTTCCTGCTTGTATTCAAGTCACCCTTCAACTTGACGACGACCACATTTCCTTTTCTAGCCCAACCTTTCACAGTTATATTGTTAGCGCTTCGCAACCAGCAAGACACTCTCAAACGGTCCTTTTCCAAATCGATATACCATCAATTACGATATTTTCTTCCAATACCAATCAATCGCCCAAATACTTATCACACATTTTGTAAAAAAAAACCTATTTGAACTTGAAAAATCACCTGAGCCTACTGCGATCTAACCCCTCCCCCCCACCTTATATATGTTTTTATATATTTTTAACGGCCTGATGCCACGCAAAAATTTTGTAAAATAATTATCTCGATATCTCTCAAATAACAACTCAATCATATAAATCAACATTACCTTAGATGGAGGTATGTCTCGACTTTCCGATGGAATCATTACTTTGCTTGATTGCATGATCGTTTGCTAGAAATCGGCGATGGAAGTCGAAAGTGACAGATACGTTATATAGAGGTATGCTTGAATGTGGCTCTTTGATGAATGTTGCTTGCTTAATGCTTGGCGTGGTGTTTGCCTTCTCGCTTTATCGATGGTTCGAGTTAGGGCTGATTTTTTGTGTGAACTCCGATGTACAGTTCCTGAACTTATCGTTGACGCTCACTTCGTAAGAAACTCGGTCGGCTACCTGGGACGACGGGAGATCTCTAAATGGTTATCATAGCTGTGGATGCACCGTATAAATTAATGTAAATTTCTGCAATATATAGTGCAATACAGTAGTGACCCGATTTTGTCAGCCCCCTTATTCAAAATATTTTCTAATGTTCTATGAAACCCATGGTCTTATTGCAATACCTTAAATATCCACGTTGAAGATGAATGAGAAAGAGTTGTAATTACGGTTACGTGAAATTATTGAAAGATAAAAGTCTGATGCAAGGAGGAGCTGACAATATCGGGTCATTACTGTACCGCATAAATTTGCAATATGGGTTACAATCTTGCAAGCAATTTCGATGTTTATGCCAACTATAGCTCAAATTAAACGAGAGGAGATTTTACGCGACAGTTAAAATTCAGAACATTTTTCTGTGTCGATAGTCACTACCTTATCAGACATCAGAGCAAAAAAAATAAGACGTGAAAGGGTAAAAGTATATTCATGACAATACTCACAAACATAGTTAAATATGGATAGATTTTGTTTTGCCCTAGAAAAAATAAATTCCAATTTGTCGTACAATGATGTTAGAGGGTCAAGTAAATCCGTGTTTAATTTGATATGAAGGGTATGTGAAAGTAAACGCTTGGACACTGCACTGCGAGGGCGGAGAGTAATTTAAATTCTGGCCAACAATTTGATTTTTTTCGATTTATTCTTGTGTGTATTAAACAAATATGATTTGTGATCAGAAAATCATTTAGTAAATATATTTCAAATTGCTTCCATACAACTTTTAAGGATTTTTACTCATTCAAACACTACACTAGTGGTCACGTTTCAGCTATGACGTCTACCGCCTGCTAAATCCATGCAATTGATTCCACATTTGAGTTAATCAAAACAATTTATCCAACCATACCCGATAAGTCAATCTTATCGGCTATCGTCTGGGCACCGCGATAAGATAAGTCGATTCGTTCACTTTATTTAAAAGACTTCAACCAAGTCTCCAAGGCAATCAGTTTTTAAACCTCTTTCACCATGGAAGCCCTAGTCTTCCTGTTTGCCATTTTGGCAGTGCTGGCTCCAACCACTGCAGAAAACTGTATGGTAATTATTCGAACCGACATTCCTGCTCGGGATCCAGTGTACCTTAAAGTAGTCAATGGCCAGGCAGATCTTTGGGCACCAAATGGTCCGGCCCTGATTTGGAACTCGACTAATGAGGTGACTGCACTGCTTTGCTCCGGAAGTAATAATGCGTTGGTGGCAACGGATATGGCTACGAGTCACAAGACGTGCATTGAGAGAACTACCTTCAACGTCGAGGGAGTACATGCTACCTCACAGGAACTGCAGTGCCGTAATCAGATCACCGGAGATACAATCAACACTGGACAATCTTGTGGCGGACGTGGTACATTGCTATACTTAGGATTCAACTCGCAAGTTTACGGTTTCATTCCGTACATTCATTCGTGCATGGACATGCAACGTGCTTCTCTTTTGTGGACCAGGCACATTCTTCCCGGTGCTGCTGTTGCTGGTGCGATGATTGAGTCTTCTCGTCCAGCGTTTAAGGTAGCAGGAATGCCGGCTCATGTACGACCGGCTACTTCGTACACTCAGGCTTCCCAGTTGACCCGATTAACGGAGCTTTTGGGATCAGTGGAGCAAGCTGCGAAGTTTGTGTTTACAAATTCATTCATGGCCAGAGGGCACATGTCTCCCGACGCGGATGGAACATATAGGAGTTGGCAGTTCACTACGTACTTTTTCACTAACGTTGTTCCGAAGTGGCAGGTATGTCAAGTAGTGTCGTATATAACGTGCAATAATTCTAATGATTGTATTTCAAATAACAGGTGGTCAACAATGGAAACTGGGCCCGCGTAGAACGAGTAACACGCGATACAGCTCTAAACCTACATGAGGACCTTGTGATTATCCAAGGCACGGATGGCATACTAACCCTGCCGCACGAAGATGGAAGACAAATTCCTATCACGCTGGAAGATGGAGGTATTGAGGCACCCCAATGGCTATGGAAGATTATCAAATCTCCAAAGCTGGACGCAGGGATTGCATTTGTTACGTCAAACAATCCCTTCAAAACGGACATTCATCCGCTGGATTTCATATGCACTGACATATGCAGCCAAACAGGGTGGGCACAGGACGAGTATGCCGATTTTGCTCGTGGTTATACGTATTGCTGTGATCCGAACGAACTTATTGCTAACGTGCCTACCGCATCCGCAGAGGGTCGTGTGGGAAGAGTTTTACTGACGACTATGTTGTAAATATTAAATTGACGAAATAATCAATGATATGTTACCCGTTTCGATTTCGGAAATATTTCATTCAATCAAAATACCATTCGTATACCACCGATATTGGTTGGAAGCAAACAAATACCAAAGTAATAATTTATAAATTTGTTGATGAGCCTCGAAGTAAGCAGTGTTTCATATTAAACGGTTTATGTGGTTTTATTCGATTCTGAAAATAGTGCAATGTACAGTAAGGGAATCGCACTTCTGTACTAAGCTCAATGAAGAGATCACGGCCATTCTAACTGTTGTGCAAACATGAGGTGATATACTATTGCTCGCACAGTTAAACCCAGAACGGACAAAAGTATATCACATTGTGTTCGTGCAGGCGAATACTACTGCCTCTACCCTTAACATGAAGTAGCTACTGTACCTATCCATAGATGTCACCCCGTATCATTGTCATTGCTTGTTTTGTAGTTTCCTTGGTGTGTTACGATAAATAAATGTTTATAGTTCCTTAACGTGGGTAGATCACCTTTTCGCCGATTGTTACGGGATGTTAAGATCTACCACCGATTCCTAGTCCTGACTACTTCAAACTAGAGGAACAGGATTTTTCAGTAATCCAAGGAACACATCTTAGTCCTTGTTACTTGTTATGCCTTGTTCATAATGATAAGACTCGGCTTTGTCCACCGTGGATGATGTTGAAACAAGGAAAAAATAAGTTAGTTAGTCTTCATCTATGTGATTCTTAATCTTCCATTCGTTGTTCCCTAGTTTAAAGTTGTTAAGACTAGGGTTGTGATGAATTATCATTACCGGTGTCATTCCTTAATTTTGTGATTGACAGAAGGGCGCGCAATGACAACTGTAAAAACAATCGAATACTTCATCATTTCTCAATAGTGATGGAGTAATACGACATGCACTAAACCAAGGACACACGGAATATACTACAATAGATCAAATTACTGGTCGCAGTGGTGTTAGGTCCCGAACAGAGGAAAAAATATTTTTTGAACCTCCGCCATGGCAGGACGGTCAAATAATCGTTCTCGTTTCAATATTTCCTTTTATCACACAACGTAAAAATCGGGTCCTATACGTGCGCGATCATAATGGTGCCGTGAAAAGTTGCGCGAACCGTTGTGAAAGTGACCGATCGTAAAATATCGAACACTTGTTGCGATTTAACGCCAGTGCTATCGAGGATTCGACTACGCTGCCGACTACGATGGTGTGGCTTTACAGTAGCCATCTGGCAGAGCATCTTGCACCGGGTCTAGTTCACCCTATGGTACTGCTGCAGACGGTACAGTATTTGGCTAGCAGCAGATGCTCAATTTCAACGGACTAGTGTCTACGTCTGATACTCACTAGACTACGTGTTAACAACAGTGCACACTCATTTCATCGGTCAACAATGGACAACAAGCAGCTCGCTTATCATCACAGAATGTGCAGCAGATAACAGCAGATTCACTGTCGAAATCATCAAGTCAAATATAAAAAAAAAAAACTCGTTTTGGGGGGGGGGGAGTGTTCGTGCAGGCGAATACTGCCAACCGGTGGAAACTAACGATTTTGAATTGGCTCACTACTTGACTAGCCTATTGGTCCCAAGCAAATCGATTAACTTACCCCATTCTAGTCAAAATTCTAATACTACACACTTCGATTTTTTGCCGAGATGGGCACATCAAGCAGCTCGGCAATTTATTTTGCTGGAAATTCAACAAAAAATATGTTTGTTAGCTGAGATCTCGGCAAAATTCCCGTTTGTTAGCTGAATCTCGGCAAGTTTTTCACCGAGATCCAGCAAAATAAAATGCCGAGCTGCTCGGTGGTGCCCATTTCGGCGAAAAAATCTAAGTGTGTACACAATGTTTGTTTTGATTCGCTATGAAAATTTGACAGATAAAATGAGGGGTTAGTGGATTTTCCTATGTTACGAGGGGTGAATCGATAAGCTTGGGACCGAAGATAGTACCAGAGCTGAGCCAAAAAGTTGAGCACGTTTCTTCGGGATCTACTAGTCTTAGAGTTACCTCTATGATACTACTGCTTCTACCCTTAAGTAGCTACTGTACCTACCCATAGATGTCACCCCGTATGATTGTCATTGCTTATTTTGTAGTTTCCTTGTTATGTTACAATAAATAAACGTTTATAGTTCTCATGCCTCCGCCATAGCAGGATGTTCAAATAATCGTTCTCGTTTCAATATTTCCTTTTATCACACAAAATTTAACCCATGATCAGAGCTGGTAAATATCACGGCCGTCATGTGACAATGAGAAAACAGATCCTCACACTATCACGAGACGAAACTACCTATCATTAGCTTTCTTGTAATTTTCCAATGATCAAGCACTCATGAGAATAATTCTTATGCGGTTTTTACATCTACATTTCCAACTGATTTAGATTAATTCAAGCAAGTAATCTACGTAATCGGTAGAGTGAATATCCTATTACGATTCTCGGTACAAGTAACTTTAAAAATAATAAATGAGCTAGTAATTACGATGATCACAACACTGTCACGTTTTGTCATGACGAAAAATTCGATGAGATTTTGAAGAAAATCTACATCATCGTTTTCTCATCCGATGATAGTGACAGATCTCTGTAAATATCGCGTGAGGTCTTTCATTGAAAATGACATTTGCCAGCCCTGCCAATGATGTGGAATGGAAGTACGTCAACACGCTCGACAACCCTGCAGACGTACTTTCGCGTGGGCTCCAACCTAGTGAGATGCGACACTTTGACCAATGATGGACAGGACCGCCATTCCTGCGCAAGATCGAATCACCTTGGCCAATTCAACCACAACCCACACCCGCAGAGCAACTCCCGGAAACGATAAATCTAATAGTAAACCTAATACCCCGAACAGACTATGGTTTATATCATGTAATATAGGCTGGCTTGCAATGAGCACTCATACATCTAGTTTTCACTGGAAATCCTATATATGAGTGCTCATTGCAAGCCAGCCTATATTACATGATATAAGCCATAGTCTGTCCTGGGTATAACAGTCACTGATAATCCTGTATCGTTCATCCTGTTCGAGATCGAGAGCAACTTCCGGAAAATGCAACGAACAATGACATGGGTACTACGATTCATCGACCACATTCGAATGGGAAATCAAAAGGAGCACCGATTCGGAGAATTGACCTTCCAAGAACTTCAACAATCAACGTTGGCTCTCACCAGCATCGCTCAACGAGAAGCCTTCTTCGATGAAATCAACCGTCTAAAATCTGGAAAGAAACATCCCATGGTACTTCCATCTGGTCACCCGTTCACGCAAGCTTTTGTCTGATCGTAACAATGCGAGGTCGCTATTGGATTCTTCACGGTCGCAGTACTGTTCGTAGCGTCATCCAAAAGTGTGTCACTTGCTTCAGGGCGAAGCCAACCGTGATGCAGCAAATGATGGGCGACCTACCCAGATCCCGTTTGGAATGAGTCTACCTGTTTCTTAACGCGGGCAACAACTTTTGTGGACCGATCTACATTCGCCAACACAACAGGCGATCAACCGTCACCTACAAGGCGTATGTAGCAGTTTTTGTATGTTTCGCTACACGAGCGATTCACTTGGAGCTAGTGGTCTGACTGCTGATGCCTTTATTGCAGCCCTACAACTCTGTGCTACAACGCTTGGTCTCTCGAAGAGGTAAATGTGCAAAACTGTTTTCCGATAACGGCCTTAATTTCGTCGGCTGCAAAAACAAGTTGAGGAAAATGTACGACATGTTCCAGTCCCAGCAACTCAAAATCAAACTGGACGATTTCTGCACGAAGACCGCTATCGAGTGGCATCTGATCCCACCTCACGCACCGCATTTCGGCGGACTGTGGGAAGCAGGCGTGCGTTCTTCCAAACATTGAGGCAAATGGACGTAAGAATTCCATAAGATCCACTTATGAATTTTAGCCACAAGAAGTCAGTATGAATTTCATAGATGTGCCTTATGAAAAATAATGTTGACAAAAAAATAATAAATCGGAGAAGACTGGAACCGATCCATGGACGTTGAGATTACGAGTCCTGTGTGTTGACCACTCGTCTTTCAACGCTTATGAAAATGAAATGGCGTATAAGAGCTATCTAATGTTACCCGAAAATCATTCAAAAGTCACGCTTATGAAATTCATATGTGTTGTTCATAAGTCGAGCCTTATGAAATTCTTAAGTCTATTTGCCTCAGTGAATACCACCTGAAGCGCATTACTGGAACTGCCAACATGAGCTTCGACGAGTACACAACCTTTCTTGCCCGCATCGAAGCCTTGCTAAACTCAAGGCCTATCACTGCACTATTAGAAGATCCTGGCCTCTCACCCTTGGACACTTCTTGGTGGGACGTCCACTGACTGATATCGCCGAACCAGACCTTTCGGACCGAAAGGAAACAACACTGTCGCGCTGGCAGCGACAGACAACACTGTTGGGCTCGTTGGTCGCAAGACTATATCACGACGCTGCAGAGCTGGAACAAATGGCACAAACCTGTACCTGTAAAGCCGGGCCAAATGGTGATCATCCGAGAAGACAATTTGCCGACCATGCAAGGGAAACTTGGGTGAATCGAGGACGTATTCCCTGGTCAAGACGGACTGGTGCAAGTAGCAAACGTGCGAAGTAGAAGCAAGGTGATCCGACGACCGATTGTCAAGCTGTATTTACTGCCGACAACGACAACAATGTGCACTCCGATGATGAGCTCCACGTAGACGATGACGACAACGATGAAGAACAAATAGATTGAAATCATCCTATTTCAATGGGGGCAGCATGTTCAGTACTAAACGACCAAATAAATAGCTAGGTAGAATGTTCGATGTTTCGTGTAGAGTTGTTTCTTTGATGTCTTGTGATATCTATCTTTATCACTGGTAATCATTTGTGTTAGCGTAGAGAAGAGAGCAATTTTAATGTCTGACCCGAACACAGACTCTCTAGGGCAAGCTAGGAAAGAGGATTGAATAAACTGGCAACTTGGCTATTGACCATCGCACGATACGGTCGTTTTTGTGTAGTCCACGCCTTTAGTTTTATAATGTGTTGGAGTGTTCGACTGTTAGGTTTTACCACAGACAAACAGACGTAACTCTTTGAAAAAGTTTTTCTTGAAAACATAGTATCTCAAACATAGGACCTCAGTAACGACATCTCTCGGGCTCCTCGCGGAAAACAAGCTTGCTCGTTAACTCGCAAACGATATTGTATAAAAGTTCTATAGAATGTATAGAAACGTCAAAGTGATCCGATGCGAGCGCTGCGGCGAGTAGTTCGCGGAACTTATAATATTCAAATCAACCGTTAAATGCATGGACGAAGATACACAATGAAGTGTTACGTCTGTTTGTCTGTGGTTTTACAATAGTCAGTTTCGGTTTTTCGGTTTTACAATAGTCAGTTTCGGCTTGGCAGTCTGGCAATCACTCAATCAGAACAAATTAATTTTGTAATTTGTCCCTACGTTTCGGCTCTGATTAGGGCCGACAAAAAAAATCAAAAAACTTTGAATATTCAACTAAAAACCGCTATGTATAAAAACTTACCAACAAAAAAAAAACAGATGTTAGACTTCAAACAGTATTTAGACAAAGAACAAATCCAACAATTGTGAGTGTAAAATATTCATTAAATGTGAAACAGTTAATATTAAAAATAAAATTCCCCTCAGTTTCCCCTGAAGAAGGCCCTAATCAGAGCCGAAACGTAGGGACAAATTACAAAACTAATTTGTTATGATTGAGTGATTGCCAGACTGCCAAGCCGAAACTGATTATTTTAGTTTTAAAGTTCGTCCGATTGTTCCGAATTCCCCGTTTTCTGTGGCCATAGTTCACGCCGCGTGTGCAGCTAAATCGAAGAGCGAACATACATAGACTTCAAAATCGAGTTCAATCCGGTCTCACCGAACGGTGCTTGTTCAATCATCGTGTGAGGTAGTATCCGGTCAGTCGTCGTCATCATCATCATCAGCAGCAGTCCTTTCGGTGCGGTGCTTTGAAAATTGTTCTCCAGTACACAACGAAAGGCTGCCCGCAAGCATCGAGCTGCAGCCTGCATGAGCGTCTATTCACCGAAGAAGGAGGAAGAAGCCTAACCGCTACTGATCGGATTCAGTAGCTCTTCGTGACTCGCTGTGGGCCATATATGCCAAGCACGTCACCTTTGTTCCAAAAAACATACAGCTCGCAAGCCTCATCCGTGTCGAACACCCTAATAGCTCAGCATTACTCAACCATCACGACAAAACCGTTCTTTTCAGGACCACCATAAATTATTGTTGTTTAAGAGTTATTAAACAAGTATTAAAGTGGTACATAAGTCAATTTTCGGTAAAAAAAAAATTGTAATTTTGTCATCAGTAAACGAGGCATTTTCTTGATGGTAAAAAAGTGGTTTCCCTAACACAGACGCCGAATATTGATACCGAACACGTAATCCTACGTCAAATCTACGGTCGTGTGTTGGATACAACCTCAGCGTTTTTCTCGGCTGATATGCTTTTATCGGCAGTAGACAACGAAAATAAAAATTTGTTTTGGCATTTTTTAACTGACCAGTACCGAAAATACCGGTATTTTCACATGTGAATACTGCTATTTCGGTAGCGGAAAATCACCTGGTATTACCGGTAAAACCAATCTCCTACCAACGATAAACGCACACATGCTGGTATTTATTCCAATCAGAATTGCTAGATATACCGATTTATCGGTATTCATACCGATTTTCGAGCTTGATACCGATATACAGATAAAGATCCTCAAAATACCGTTGTTTGAGATTTTATACCGATTTATACCGTTTTTTTTTAATATTATTACCTGCCAGCGCTGAACTGTATAGCGTCGCCGGTGGTGTAGTGGTAAGTGTGATTACCTCTCACTCTAGCAGGCCTGAGTTCAATCCCAGTCGGCGCCACCAGGATGTTCTGAGGCATAACATCTTTGATCACGCCTTCCTTCGGAAATGAAGTAAAGCCGTTGGTCCCCGGTGTAATGCAATTACATTTGCTTCAGAGAAACTGCAGAAACTTTCAAGAAGTTCTGGAACTTCAGAAAAGTTTAGACTTTTGGGTAAGTTTAAAGATCTGAAAGGGTAAGTTTCGATAAGTCATAGACAGTTTCCTTAAGGTGTTTCGCTGTGAGATCCTTATTCTCGTAACTTTAAGTGCACAAATATTAGCTTCTACGATACGTACCACAATGAAACTGCTATTCCACGTTTGATGTATTGCAGCATACATGAAGTAGCAATTTCAGGTGAAATGGGGAATTAATTTCAGAGATGTGTGTGAATGAAAATTCGAAGTGGAAGTACATGCATAGCCTCCGTGGTGGCCATTTGTAGAATCTACAAGGAATCACCTTAACTTCTGTTACAAATCGAGAACCCGTGAATTTCAGGAAAGTCCAGAGAACTCCAATGAACTTAAGTAAACATCAGAAATAGTTAGTAACTTCAAAAGTCCAAAAAACTTCAGGGAAATTTAATTGTTTTCAGGACAGTTCCATTTCCCCAAAAGACCTGGGTTAAATCTCTGTCGGCGACGCCGGGATTCTCTGAGGCATAAAATCTCTGTTGACGCCTTCCTTCGGAAGCAAAATAAAGCCGTTGGTGCCCGGTTCATGAGTTGATGGGTCGATAGGTAGAGTGCAGGTGTGGAAGCTGCCTGCCTGGTGTCGGTAGCATTGGTACTCAGTACGGAAAACAAGATCGACGGAAAAACAAATCAAGGAAAATAAAGGATAGTTCCATTTGTTTCAGGAGAATTGAGAGAACTTAAGGGAAGCTATGCCAACATCAGAATAGATCAATTAATATCAAGGAAATCGCTGAAACTTTAATGGAGTTCCGAGAAACTCGTGGAATGGTAATGTTCCGAGAGGCTCATGACCATTTTGGAAACGTAAGGTATGTTACATGAACATTAGAAAATTGTGAGAACACTTAAAGGGAAGTTCCGTACTTTTTAATAGCAGCTTCGAGAACTTCAAGAAAATTAGAGAAATCAGGAAGATCAGTGATCATCAATGCTGATGTTCCATTAATTTCAATGAAATTTTGAGAGCACTTCAGAGGTTCCGAAATCATTAAGAAGTCCAGAAGATTTGAGAATTCCGATAGTTTCATTATAATTAAGGAAGTTCCAAGTACCTCAAGAAAATTGCAAGATTTTTCAAGGAGTTCCGCAAAATTATGGAATATTCCGAAGTGCAATTCAGGAATGTGCTGAAAACTTCAAAGACATTGTGGGGTCTTCAAGGATGATTTTCTGTTTTCTGAGCTTCTTCTGGCAAATGGCAACTGTTTCTGATTTCTGGCTTCCTCTGGATGGGTCATCCGATTTTTTCCTTTAAATTTTCGTCATAAGTCTCTCAATATTTGTGTTGGATGTTTTTCCGACTTTTCTTAGAACTTTCCTCAAACTTCCTCCAGAAGATATTCTTTATTCTTTATCTAGAAGTTTTAAAGCTTCCTTTGGAAGCAAATTCAATCATTCCCCGGAAATTTCTTCCAACCTCTCCTGGAAAGCAGAGGTCCAGACCAGACCAGAAGGTCCCAAAGAAACGTGCTCAACTTTTTGGCTCAGCTCTGGTACTCTCTTCGGTCTTAAGCTAATCGATACACCCCTCGAAACATAAGAAAATCCTGGGGGTGCGACACATCTAAATCTTAATTTTGGATGGTTAAAAAATCTCACACAAGCGAATTAATTCACGAAAAATCTTTTTTCAACTCTTGCATCTAAAGCCATCTACTCCTATCGCTTTCCACCTTTTTGCAGGAAATCTTTAAAATCTTCATCAATCTTCTTTCTATTTACTTAGCGTGCGCGTATCTCACAATAGCAAACAAATTTTTTCCAGCATCTTAGATAGAGTCGCCCCCCTCGAGAAAATCCACGAGCCCTTCATTTTATCTGTCAAACTTTCATAGCGAATCAAAACAAATATAGTATAGCACTAGAATTTCGACTAAAGTTTGGAACGCGTAAAAATTGGTCAACTTCAAATTGGTGTATTTCTGTTAAAAATGCATAAAAAAACCTGAAATACTACATTTGGAAGTTGAGTGTATATACAATGGCTGCTATGATGAGTTTTAACCGTTTGCTGTCCAGTTTTCAAAATGACGCCCAAGCAAGAAGAGCAGCTTGTCAAAATTTTACTCGCGCAGCATAATAATCCAACGTTCTCACACGCCAAGTTGTCAAAATTGCTGGATGTGGCCAAATAGACCGTGACAAACGTTTTAAAAGTGTTCGGAGAGCGTCTGCCGACCGCCAGGAAGCCTGGAAGCGGCAGCAATCGTAATCCGGACGTGGCAGCGACGACGAAGAAGGCGGCGGTGAAATATAAGCGGAATCCTAACCTCTCCATCCGGGACGTCGCTGGCAAGCTCAATGTCTCCCATACTACTGTGCAGCGGGCCAAGAAACGAGCCAGGTTGTCGACGTTTAAGAAAGTGAAGGTGGCGAACCGAGATTACAAACAAAACACGTCGGCAAAGCAGCGGTCCCGAAAGCTGTATACGAATCTGCTCACAAAGTTCGACTGTGTCGCCATGGACGACGAAACTTATGTGAAGGCGGATTTTAAGCAGCTTCCGGGACAGGAGTTTTATACCGCATCAGGAAAAGGGAAGGTGGCTGAAATTTTCAAAACCATCAAACTATCGAAGTTCCCAAAAAATATCTCGTCTGGCAGGCCATATGAACGTGTGGTCTAAGAAGCGGCATTTTCATTAATTCGGGAGCCACCAATCAAGAGGTCTACGTCCAGGAGTGTCTGGAAAAGCGGCTGCTACCATTCCTAAAGCAACAAAATAGACCTGTGCTGTTCTGGCCGGACTTGACGAGCTGCCACTATGGGAAAAAGGCAATCGAGTGGTACGATGCGAACAACGTGGTTGTGGTACCCAAAGACCACAACCCTCCCAACAAAGCCAGAACACCGCCCTATCGAACGGTAGTGGGCCTTGGTCAAACGGAATCTAAAAAAAACTGATAAATCCATGGAAAACGAGCAGCAGTTTAACTGGCGTTCGGCGGCGAATAAGGTCGATGAGACCACTGTGCAAAATTTAATGGAAGGGGTTAAGCGGAAGGCACGGCAGTTTGGATTTGGCAAACCAAAAGAATAAACGAACATTTTTTTCTTTAAATATATGAATTGAACTACCAAAAGAAAAATAAGAAGATTTTTGTGATATGAATTTTGAGCGTTCCAGTCTTTAGAATGGGGTACGCTTATAGATGTACTTGGGACCAATAGGCTAGTCAAGTAGTAAGCCAATTTAAAATCGTTAGCTTCCACCGGTTGGTATTACCATGCATGTACCATAACAGAAGTGGAAGGAACGAATCAGTGTACCAAATGTGGGGCAAAATGTTTGATCACCAAGCGATCCTTGTGGATGCGCTTCACACGGGTTTTCTATGGGCGCGCACACCATCAAAACATGCTGCCTTGTAAACTGCAGGTTGCCTTCTACCGCTAGGTGTGCTAGCGTTCACAAAAAAAAATAGAGTTACCTTTGCATCCAAAGTTCTATTTCTGTTCTGTGATGGAGTGCAAATTAGCGGGGTTCAAATTAAAAAGCGTTCAGATTTAAAACGGTCAGAGTACCGGCGGTTCACGGTATCATTGTTGAGAGCCTATAAAAATACTATAAAATGAAAGTTAAGTTGATTTTTGTATATTAATAATTTTAATTATGACCTCGTGCAGCAATAGTATCCGTGAGGTGAGACATTTTGCTTAGTGAAATAATTAGGAACAAGTGTCTGATTAGCACCACCTTAACCTGTCAGTAACTAGACACTCAAAATGAATAATCACGCAATGAAAACACTGCATTGCACCTAATCAGTGGCCTTTTTTGAATGAATGCATTCAAGTAAGAACCGGTTTCATATTTATCTTTTTGGCTACAACTTCAAAGCGAACTATTTTTAGGTATATAAACGACTCATATGATTCAACCATTCAGTATCTCCGAAGAAAACAAGCAGCAACTGTTTGTCGTTGGTCAAAATGAAAAGCTACTACATTTGCATTTTTCTATTCGCATTCTTGAGTGCACTATTCCGCTCATCTAGCGCTGAGGGAAACTGCCCAATGCCATGTACCCACATAATGGAGCCCGTATGTTCGACCGATGGCAGTCAAATCAAGCGTTTCTCGAACCGCTGTCTGATGCAGGCGTATAACGAGTGTGAAAGTGAAAATGGTAGAAGTAAGTACCTAACGCCGATGTATTGTCAGCAAAACCTAGTACAAATTATTTCTATTTTCCACAGCTTATCAAGAGATCGATGCAAGTCATTGCGGTGACGATGAGGACAACTGGATCTGATTGTGTCAACTCAGTCTCGGATCCTAGCGTCTTGTTTTTTTTTTTAATTAAATGCATAGAATATTTGAAAAATATGTTGGAAATTAAATATATTTCCAAATACCTATTCACCCAAATTGGCATTTCATTCTCTAAGATTTTAGATATTGAAGTCCAAGAAATAATAATAAAAAAAAAGAGTTTCTAGTTGCTTGAGACAGTTCAAGTCAATATATACTGCGGTGATAAGGACAACACCTTGATTTCATTGCTTAGCGCAGGCATGTTTAAGCCGGTTATCGCCTCTGTTTCAACAGAGAGTAGGAATCGTCAAACTGTTGTTGTTGTTGTTGTACATCAATCATTATAAAATACATAGTAAAAAAACTCATCGGTGCTTTGTTGTTTCAGAATATTTGTTATAGCAAAACTCCAAGTAATATTATTAGCTTGTAATCGTTTCGCTATCAATCGCAGCACCATCCCATGGACCTTGAACTTGTTTTACGGAAGCTAGCCAACATCGTTCTAAATCATTTCAGTCTCATTTTGACAGCCATCGCGCGCCAATCAACACTCTGATATGAATTCAACTGTCGGTTTGTTACTCGCTTTATTGACGTTGTTTGAAACATCGATAGCCAGCAATGAATATCCAAACAAATTCCATAGCATCTACGGATGCAAACAGATCAACGCGGTAAACAATTACAATCACCCCGTGGAATACATTCCAATGCAAAGTTTTGAGAACACCGGTGCTGGAGTCAACTCAACTTTCTATAGGATAGGAATTTTCGGCAAAAGTGATGCAATTATTCGTTTCTCCAAGGTTCCAATGCCGTACAATAAGGATATTGTGCACGAGATTGGTATGTATTGTTAAGTGGAATTCTCAAGGACCATAACTAAATATGTGAACTTGCAGTCATCGGAGCCGGACTAAATCTCTTCACCGAGATTCGACGACAAACTAGATTCAACGTTTTGTTATTCACCAACCACGTGTTGAAGAAGGTACCAACCCCAAAGGTGCTTTCCGAAGTGGAACCATTCGTGCTGTTGGTGGAGTTTTTTCAGGATGGAACAGTCCGGTTGACTAGAGATGGCGAAATGGAACCGTTTTTGGAATTTTCAGATCCTAAAGCGGAAATCAGCTACAACTACATTGGATTTTCCAACTGGCTATCGAAAATGATATATTTCTTCGATTGTCCAGTTTACAATTTCGATATAAGGCTAGGAGATTTAAATTTATAAACGTGCTGTGCAGAAAGTCGAACTGCTTTCCGCAATGATTGAAACTTTAATACTCAAATAAAACCAGTTTGATATGATTAACTGATTAATTCCTAAAAATCAACCAAAGAGCCCATGCATTCATATGAAAGTAAAACCGAAGGACAATGTGTTTTTCTTTATTATAGAGGTTTTCGAAGCAAATAAAAATGGAGCAGAAAAGTTTTTCCACACTATGGAAAATATATCTCCATTTTATGGACGGGAACGATTTCACCAAATAATATCGTATCTCACTGACGCTGATTGAACAGTCACATTTATTTATTCCACTAACATTACAACGAACTCTACTAAACAAACATTCTAGGAGTAAATCACTTCAACCTACTTCACACAATTCGCAAAAAATTAATCAACCCAACAAATAGCAACATATGTACCCACGCATGCAAAGCAATTCCGTTGGAAGACAACATCGCTGGAGTTAGGATTTCTGCAACAAGTCCCTCGTCGGGTGCATGAGGCACGCTCCTAATGAGGGAATTCGGATCACAACAATACGTGAATCCCTTCGCAAAATTGGAATACTCCTTTTCAGTCCAGCCATACTTTTCGCATACATTTGGACATAGGAGTTGTGATTCCGACAGTGTTGTCTCATGAGGATTGTTCAACGTGACAAAAGCAATCCCAACGTTGCGGCTAGGTGACTTGACAATCTTCCACATCCATAGTGGAACGTCGATTCCGGCGAGTTCCAATGAAATAGGTATCATTTCATTCGTCAAATGCGGTAGAGATAGGACCCCGAATGTTCCCTGAATCACAAGCATATCTTCCTGAAGTAACGAAGCAATGTTTCTGGTGCGTAATTCTACGCTATTCCAATTTCCTTCGTTGATGGCCTAGAATTATAAAATGAAATTGAGAATTATAATTCGCACGTACTTCTCTCGAAAACGTAAACGTAAACCACATTCTTCACTTTTCAGACTCTCGAGCACTACCAGACATAAGTATATAACATCGCGATTTTTTTTTCTCTATAAAAAAGTTCAAAGAGCCAAAACTTTTTCTCGTGTCCTTGAAATTACTACTAATCGGTTGAGTTTTTTTTAACAACACGCTTCTTTTTTTAATAGCCTATTTAAAAATTTAATTTACAAAAGTACAATAATCCAAATATGCTGAAATTATTCTTATTGATAGTCAGGCATGGGAAAAATGTTTCAACATTGCATGTAATACCGCTCACTTGTATACAATATCAGAAACAAGCGGCGTACGTGCCCAGGGCTGTCAACTGATCACTCAATGCGCGCAATGTACTGATTTCCTGAAATAAACAAAGTGAGAATCAAGCAACCACAAAGTTTGCTTGTCTTTCACCCTGCGTAAGTGTAAAGCAGCGGAGGTGAGAAGATAGACACACACCAAGAAATAACGAAAGCACAATGTGCAGCCATCACTCCGACGGCTCCGACACAAAGAGTGCCACTCAGTGTAGGGTTGCAAATGAGAAACCTACATAATGACAGGAAGGATTCGTTGTGCACTTCTGCATCTCCTATGCATGCAGTCGTGGTAAGCAAAGTCTGCAAGAACTCAAGAAGACATTAGCGCTTCTTGTATTATATTCGCTCCCTGCGCCGCACGGAGTGTACCGCTCATTGTGTGGATCGCTTTCTCAAAGATTAGTTGGAAAAGAAGAATGTGCGAAGCAAATAGGAGAACCACACACTCTTTGTCGTGTGTTGTGAGATGCATGCACAAAGTTGCTTTGCAACCGCTCTGAGGTGCTTTTCAGCCCTGTGCGTGCCAGTTTGATTTTGTTCATTTTTTTTCACCGATTTTTTCGCTGAACGAAGAATCGAGCAAAGCTGACAGCTGAGTGTATCGTGATGGATTCTGAATGTAATGATGTGGAAGATTTTTCAGTGTATCCTTTACCCATTTTAATTTGTTCCTGAGTGCATTCGGTTGAAATAACTGAGTGAGAGGAGGAGCAGGAGCTGGTTTTTTGTGTAGGAATAGGAATTTGAACGGGGTTCTCTCCTTGGGGCAAGACAGCTTTTGATCATGAGTAAAATCGGAGTTAATTTTGAGTAACTTTGAGTAACTCGCGTTGCTCAACATAAAATACACATAGCAACCGATACGGTCAAGCAAAGCAAAGCAACAACATTTTAAACGGTGCGCTTGCAATGCTTTACTGGGAACATCTTTCAGCAATTAAAAGGCAATTGCACGTGTATGAAAGGAACTACAAGCTGTCCTCTCAAAATCGATGGATGATTTCTATGGTGACCTTACGGAACAGTCAGAGCTGTCTTGCTTTACTGCCATGCCGATGACGTTTTATTAGGGGGATTTTGTACAATCTCTAAGAGAGTTCCAGTCAATCGCAAAGGGGATTTATGACAGTCTCAGTAGAGATTCCTAACAAGCCTTGGGGGAATTTCAGACAATCTCAGTTCGGTTTCCCAACAATATCAAAGGTAACTTCGGAAAATCTAAAGAAGGAATATGAACTATCCTAGGGAGGATTCCGGACAATCACAGGGAGAATTGCACTCAATATTGACGGGGATTCATGACTGTCCAGGGGGGATTCCATATAATCCAGTTAATCCAAAGGTAGATTCTGGACAATCCCAGTATTAAAAAATGGTATGTGATGGTTCCTACATCCATTCGACGATCGCTCATTGACAAACTTCATATATGTTTCAGAATAGAATCAACTATGAAGTTGACCAGAACTAACCTATTTGGACCTGGGATGAACAATTACATAAAAGACTGCATTCAACAATGCTCCTTTTGTGTCGATCAACACAACAACACAAGACGATGAAAATTCAACCTGTTCCTGTTCAACCTTTTTCAACTCGTGTCTATTGATGTCTTTTTGCAGAAGTATCAGGGAAAACAACGAACGCTTCTGGAGAGAGTTGACCCTAACTCTGACATTTTCTAGCTAAATATTCTCAGAGATTTAAACCCCTCTTCCTTAATGAATGCTGGTAAATAAAATGTTGCTTATCACGAAAGAGTTTCCTCATTTCAGGCATGTAGTGCAACAAAATATGAAACCTCTTTGACCGATTTTGTGAGATTGAGTTTTAATTTTCATGAGCTAAATTAATCTTCTGAAAACATTTGGCTAAATTCTTACTTCCTTAGTCTTGAAATCACACCATCTAGTGTTTCCAATTTACCAGAATTGTTCCCGAGAAGTTTTTTTTTTGTACGAAAACCATGTTAAACATATATTATATTGAAAATGGCCAAACAACTTTCGGGGACAATTGATAGAAATTTCCGGAGAAAGTTTGACGAATCTTTAGTGTGAAGTCAGGAAAGCTTCCTGGCAAAGAATCTTTCAAACGAAACAGGTAGAGGCTTCTGACACAAACTGTGAGAAACTCCCGGGCAAAGTTAGAAGAGACTTTCATGCAAATTTAGGCACCCTGATGAAACTTTCAGAATAATTCAGAAAAAAAAAATTCCGTGGGAAGTCCGGATGAAATGGGAAATAGTTTCCACTTCCAGCGGTAGGACTTCTGATTGTAATCTAGGACTTCTGATTATAATCTGATACTGTTGGAATGAAAAGATGATAAAACTTCCGTTGAACAATGGACGAAGGTGGAAGATTCTTCCAGGGCAAGTTAAAAAAAAACTTCCAGGAGATGTTGGAAGAAACTTTCGTGCAAAGTCAGACGAAACCTCCTGGAGAAATCATAAGAATCCTTCCGAAGAAGCTTGTCGAAATCTTCAAGGGGAAGCTGGAAGAAACATCCAGAAATTGTCGGAAAAATCTTCCTGGAGAAATCCTGACGAAGTTCAAGTTTTAATAAATAACTACCGAAAATATTTCTCGATTTCCGGGAAGAGTCTTCAGCTATTTTAAGATTCCTGGGTAATTATAAATGGCTGCGATATGGAAACACTAACACCACCACATCACCAAAAACTTCAAAGACATTACACTTTAGCCATCCATCCTAGAAAGCAAAAGAGACCTAAACATCCCTTGGCTTGGACAAGAGCCATCTAACTTGGATCTTTTAATGAATGAAAACTAAATCTTGAAATCAAAACGTTCTGTCAGACGGGGATTGTTTGAACATTATTTTATGAAAAATGTTAGACTACTTTGTTTGTTTTTGAGTAAATATTGAGTAACTCAAATTTACTTACTGCAAATATATTAACTCCGAGTACAGTTGTCTTACCCCTAGGTTCTCTCTGTTTATACTCTTTAGTATGACGCGCTTGACATAGATGGCCCACAGCAACTCAGGAGAGCTACTTCCTCCTTCTACACGCAGGCAAAAGAACGTAAGAATTCCGTAAGAAACACTTATGAATTTTAGCCATAAGAAATGAGTGTGAAGTTTATTGATTTGCCGTATGAAAAATAATGTTGACAAAAATAATAAATCGGAGCAAACTGGAACCGGAAAATGGACTTTGAGGTTAGGGGGCTCGTGTGTTGACCACTCGCCTTTCAATGCTTGGGAAAATGAAATGGTTAAAGGCGTATAAGAGCTACCTCATGTTAATCGAAAATCATTCATAAGTCACGCTTATTTGCCTCAGACTGATGCAAAATTTGAAAGTTTTGCTCCATAGTGCTTAAACGGTTCCAAATTAGGTCCTGCTTAGCCTCCCAAAATTTGAACGACTTTAGGAAGAAACTGACTCGGCACAAACCATTTCAAGTTTATATGGGAATTACTATGGGAAAACTTATGTTTTTGTTCATATCTATCTAACAATTTACCACATCACTATGCTTTTAAAAATGATAATAGTGATTGTAGCAAATTTTCTCAGTTGAAAACCATTGTTCAATCAAATGTAAGGAACAAAAGTTATTATTGATTCAAGTCACTGATGTCTTATGATTATGCTCATTCAACTGTTCAGCAGGCAACATTGGTGTTTCTGGTGCGAAGAATAGAGCACAAATATCATGGCTACTATGTCACACTGCAGAATGCAGTGTTGCCCACAGAACAGCTGCATGATCATGCCATAAGATTATCAATCTCTCAAACAATTAATAGCAATTTAATTCGACAATTGGCTGAAAAATGATATTACGCAAAGTTGTAGCTTATAAAATTTCCCGTAAGAATAGTTACATAAATTTTCGAGAAAGCAATATGGAAAATGGGTAGAAGACAATGAACAAAAAGTTTGGTTTTCCCATAGTAATTTCCATACAAACTTCGAATAGTTTGTACCAAGTCAGTTTCTTATCAAATGAGTTTAAATTTTGGGAGGCTAATCAGGACCTGATTTGAAACCGTTTGAGTACTGTGGAGCGAAAATTTCAAATTTTGCATCAGTCTAATGCTCATGTGGGCTGCAGCTAGCTGCTTGTAAGCAGCCTTTCTTTTTTTCCATGGTTTGTTTTCCGTCGATCTTGTTTTCCACCAATGCTACCGACACCAAGGAAGCAGCTCCCACACCTGGATCCTACCTATCGACCCATCAACTCATGAACCGAGGACTTCCCTTCCGAAGGAAGGCGTGTTCAGAGATGTTATGCCACAGAACATCCTGGCGGCACCGACTGGGATTGAACCCAGGCCTGCTAATCACGCTTACCACTACACCACCGACGCCGCTGCAGGCAGCCTTTCGTTGTGTGCTGGAGAATACCACCACTCACCACGCGGTGATTGAATAAACACCATTTGGTGAAAGTAAAGTGAAGTAAAGCCGTTGGTCCCCAGTTCATGAGTTGATGGGTCGATAGGTAGGGGTCAAGTGGAGGAGCTGCCTCCCTGGCGTTGGTAGCATTGGTGCTCAGCACGGAAAACAAGATCGACGGAAAACAAATCAAGGAAAAAAACCATTTGGTGAGACCGGATGGAATTCAACTTTGAAATCTGTTTTTGGGAAATCGCTTTTTGCAGGCAATCGGTGATAATTTTAATTATCACACCAACAGTTTCACATCCTTGCAATTATCAATAGTGACATTTTGAAAAATGATAAAAAATTAATTTTAACAGATTCGTAGAAAAAAATTCTATCGATTGGCGTTTTAAGAATTAAAATCCATCATCTCTGGATCAAAATCAGACCACTTTCATGCTGCGACCGATTTTGATTTTTAAAATCGCACTCCCAATGTTGCCTTAAAGTACATGTTATGTTGGATTTAAACATATCTAGATAGAGCTGGAATTTGGCGTAACAGCTTTTGCAAACAATGACTTCTCTCGATAATTTTTAGGAGTTCAAGGCACGTCCACGCATAAAAACATTCCGGTCGGGTAGAAGAAGACTTACCCTACCTGTTGGTGATGTTGATATGCGCGGGCGAGCCTTAAATTGCAAGGCATCATCGAGAGAAGTCATTGTTTAAAAAAAACTGTTACGCCCTAATTCCAGCTCTACCTTGATATGGAAACTGACATCCGATTGATAACCTTTTCAAATCTCGCGCAACACGAGAAATGGTCCTATCATTGTTAATCGATTTTCTTTTTCCCGAATAACCCAACTGCAAACGAATTTACCATTCAGTGTTTTGTTTCAGGCGCAAGCTAACATCATCTTCTATCGAACTATGCTGCGAGCTTAGCGAGAAATTCGTTTATTTTGCCGTGGTACACCAAAGAGAAAGTCAATGAAGAGGATCGATCAACGAGGATAGGCCCTTTTCAAATGTTATGCGAGAAATGTCCAAAAAATACTCTTTTACAAATTTATGGCGCATTATGGTTGAGTAATGCAGAGCATTAGGGTGTTAAACACAGATGAGGCTGGTGAGCTGTATGTTGTTTGGAATTAGGATGACGTGCTTGGCATAGAAGGCCCACAGCGACTCACGAAGAGCTACTGATTCCGATCAATAGCGGTGCGGCTTCGTCCTTTTTCTATGGATGCTTATGTGGGTTGCTGCTCGCTGCTTGCAGGCAACCTTTCATTGTGTACTGGAGAACGCCACCACTCACCACGCGATGATTAAATAAACACCGTTTGGTGAGACCGGATGCAATTTAACTTAGATATCTGCGTTAGAGAAATCGCTTTTTACAGGCAATCGGTGATAATTTTAATTATCAAAGCAACAGTGGCACATTCGTGCAAATTTCAATAGTGACATTTTGAAAAATGATTAAGTCTTAATTTCAACAGATGTGTAGAAATATATCTGATCGATTGGTGATAAAATAATTGAAATTGGTCCAGAGGCAGCTGAGTAATTAACGTTCAAAATCTTTCATAATGTTGTAACATGTTCCATTTTCGGTTTTCAAAAATGTATCCCCATAAAGAAATCACAGACGTAGTCCTACATAAAAATTATTATTTCGCAATATAGCTTCATATGAACTTTAAGTGTTGAAAAAGACATTGATATGTAGAAAATTATTATTTTGTAGCAGCAGAACGTAACACTGCCAACTTTTAATCGGTTGTACAATCGGTAGGGAAAATTCTTAGATTTTTTTCACCTTTTCGTTTACCCTGTTTTGCTGTTATTCGTTTCAAGTCTGTGTGCAAAGTCACTTACTTGGAAACATTTGCACTCACTCAGCAATCTGTTAAGAACCGAGAATGGATATTTGATTTCTGTGGAGCTCGCACGACTGAATGAGTTCTCCCATGCTTGTTAATATTCAAGATATCTTTTTCGCCATTTGAAACATTTTAGAAGGTTATATTCTTTTGTCCGATCTGGATTTTCACTCTGCGGAGAGTATATAACCTCTTCACGCATTGCTGCGGTGTGAAAAGAAGTTATATACTTTTGTCCGCAGAGTGAAAACACAGCTCGGACAAAAGTATATAACCTTGCAAATTTTCACAACTGATAAAAGTTGAATCCTGATGAATGTGGGCGTCTTAGTGGAATACCTGTATAATGAGAGAGAGAAGGATTAGTATGTTCCATTTAATTCCACTACTTTATTTGCTTATCCTTGACAGATACGCGTATTTCGTCTACAATGTGCAGACTTCTTCAGTGTCTTGTACTAATACTCGACAAGACACTGACACTGAAGAAGTCTGCACATTGTAGACGAAATACGCGTATCTGTCAAGGATAAGTAAATAAAGTAGTGGAATTAAATGGAACATACTAATCCTTCTCTCTCTCATGATAAAAGTTGTTTTGTACTAAACGGATTTTAGTGAAACTTAAAGTATTGGAAAGAACAATGTCTTGTCTATTTTAAATAGGCTCTTCCAAAAAGAAGCGTATTGCTAAACACGATCAAAATACATACAAATTCAACCGATTACTGTCAAAATTGTACCGATAAATTTCGAATACATAAACAACTAGCAGAATATTTCACAGATATCCGAAAAAGTTAAGGCTTTTTGAACTATTTTTGCAGAGAAAAAAAATTGCGATACTTATGCCCGGTACTGTATGTGTTTCTCAAGTGGCAACATGGTTTACTTGCGATTCCACTTACATTCCACTGAGGAACTGCATTTGTGTAGAAGAAGGTTGCATGCTTCCAAGTGTGGAACACACCATCGCCTCTTGGTGTTAGGTGACCTTTGTTCAGGAATACGGTTCCTGTTTTCACAAATTTTTCCGCCTGATCCTTGGATCCCAAAAGCACTGTCAACCGTTCAACTTGCGCCGCTTGCGTGTATGAAACGTCAGGTTTAACTTTATCTCCAATTCCATCGCTTCTCCAGGTTTGGAAATCATCAGCAACAACGGCATCTACAAGATGAAAAAAATAAGCATATGTTCATATGATTTTCACTTAAATCCATACTTGCAATGGCAGCTCCCGGAAGAATGTGCCTGGTGTACAAAACTGATGATCTGGCAGTGTCAAAACAGGCATCAATATAAGTAATAAACCCACTGGCTTCGGCGTTGAATCCCAGTTTATTTAGAAAACCTCGCCCATTTCCACACGGGCTTTCACTTGTAGCAGCATCTCCATCTACAGCGACCTTGCATTTCAAATCTTTTGCACTAACGGTTTCCCCTGCCACCGTAAATTGCGATCCTCGAAGACAGGTCTTCTCAGTCAGTACAGTCCCAGTTTGTTCCAGACCATTTCCCGTTCCCGAGCACAGCAGCGCGGTTTGTTCGCTTGTTCTATTCCACACCAACGTCGATCCCTTTGGAGCCCACAGCTTGAACGATGTGCCTTCGTGTTTTAAGTATACTGGTTCGTTCTGAGGTAGATCCTTCGCCGGAGCTACCGAGCAGAGTGGTGACTAGAAAAAAAAATAAATAGCACCATTTAATCAGGTTAACTACATGTCTAGAGCTAACGTGCAGTTATCGTATTATCACAGACAAACAGACATAACACATTGAATATTTCTCATTGTGAAACATCGTCGCTAAAAATTACCGCCATCTGTTGTATACACTGTGGTGGTCACTACGCTGAACACATGGCGGTTGTGTGTAAACGTCAAACGCAAGGGAATTGACTGTGCGTGCCACAGGTGGAAATACTGCCAACTACGATACTTTTAAATTGTCCGTTAAATGCTTGTTCAATGAACAACTTGCTAGAGTTTTATCGGTTGTCTGTAGTATTATTATTATTTAAAAGGAAATGTGATCCATATTTACCAAAAAATCACGTTTCTCGATTATCGGGAAACTGCTCCCATTTCCCATAGCACGGCTCATTTAATAAATGAGTCATTTATGTTATAATCAAACGAGTAAACGAATTCCTTCCCGGCTGTACATAGGAGATCATTTCGAGTAGTGTTTCAATTTCCCAGTCATTTATGGCTGCCCAGGAATCGGGAAACAGCTGATAGCTCTTCAGAGAATTTCAGAGAATCGGGAAACATGTTTATACGGGGACCAGATATAATTACGACCATAGTTATTTATTTATTAGTTTACATCAACAGGCTGAGTGTAGAATAACATTAAAATACATAGTCCAGCTTATTAAAATACACAATACATTAAAATACATGATCATTCAACGGTTTACTGCGTCAGATAAAGTACGGGAAAAGCGCCCGCGTAGCATCTCTCGTGTAAGGTAGAATTTTTTTTTCCTTTATTTAACGTCGGTCTCTGTTCCGCAATCTAGTGCCAATCACCGACGGACATCGATTGCCATCCATTGACGGCAACCGAATGTGCAGGAAGGCAGCTTCCACCACCTGCGTAGGATACCCAACTAACAATTTTAGCTGCAGACTAGCTAATACAGCTGAAAATTGCCTTTTGCAGCTAATTTTTGTCTGTATAAGCTTACCTGCAGCTGAAATTGTTTGTTGGGTATCGCACCCATTCACAACAACACACATGGGCCAGGACCAACGGCTTTACTTACCTTCCGAAGAAAGACGTGACCAGAGATTTTTATGCCTCAGAAAAATCCCACCGACCTCGGCTGGGAGTGAACCCAGACCCATTGGGGTATTAGAAAGCAGTCACGCTTACCACTATTTACACCACCGGCGCCGGCTAAGGTTGAAATCGAACACTGAAGAAACTCGACTGAACACACGTTGAAGGCCGTCTATAGCACCGTTCATGCTATAGTTAGTGCGATGCTGAGGCAATCTTAACATAGCGTTATTTCGCAGCGCTCGGGGTTGGACGTTCACGTTGATCTTCTCCAGGATTGTAGAACAATCAATTCTACCCTGTAAACTATCCGCGATGAGCAGGGCCCGCGAAGTGTCTCTCCGAGTACGTAGAAGCTCCAGATCAATCAGTTGACATCGACTTTCATAACTTTCTAGACGAAAAGGGTTTCTCCAAGGCAGCTTCCTCAGAGCAAATCGAAGAAATCGACGCTGAACGGACTCAACTCTTTCAGCACCATTGTTATAGCTTGGGTTACATACTGCAGAGCAATATTCCAGGGTGGACCGCACCAGGGAACAGTATAGCGATTTGAGACAATATATATCGGAAAAATTCTTTGCAATCCTGAAAATGAATCCCAAAGATCTTGACGCCTTGTCGACAATGAACGAGATGTGTTGCTTATAGGTTAACTGGGAATCTAGAATAACTCTCAGGTCGTTTACGTGGTTGACACGGCTGATAGTTGTTTCCTGAAGTACATAATTGAACATGATCGGTTCCTTCTTGCGAGAGAAGGTGATAACTGAACACTTCGCGGGGTTGACCTCCATTCGGTTCAAGTTGCACCAGTTAGCAAACGCTTCGAGCTGGCATTAGAGGAAGTGACAGTCATCGAAAGAGTGGATCCGGATATAGATTTTAAGATCATCTGCATACGATAGACGAAGGCCTTCGAGGACCAGATTCACGTCGTTAAAGTACAACAGGAAAATCAACGGGCCTAGGTGACTTCCTTGAGGTATCCCTGACGTGGCTGGGTAAGTAGCAGACTGACATTCACCAACGGTTACCATCAGCTGGCGATCACTGAGATAAGAGCGAAACCATCGCAGGAGGTTGCCATTTACCCCGAGTCTATCTAACTTAGCAATCGCAATTGTAACGTCAGACATATATGATCTTTCTCATCTGCTCCCTTACCTTTGAAAGGAAATAAGATGAGTGCCTACCTGGTTTCAACGGCCGAATAGCCTGAATCGAACTGAGACTATCCGAGGAGATGAAGAAATGGTCTGCGGGCATGTTGGAAATTATCCCTAATGCGAAGTTGATTGCTGCCAGCTCAGCAACATAAACGGAACAAGGTTCCTGAAGTTTGCGGAAGGCGCTAGAGTTTTCATTGAAGACACCGACGCCAGTGGATCCATTGAGACGTGACCCACCTGTAAAATATATTTTCAAGCAATTGACGTGTTAGTACTTTTCAGTGAAAATACGTGGGATAATAATAGTTCGAAGTTGATCTGGAATCCCATGAAGCACTTGTTTCATGGACACATCATATTCAATTGAAGAACTGCAGACACATATCCGAAGATATGTAGTGAAGGTAGATTCTCATAAATCGAGAATGTGAAAATTTTCAATTATAATTGTGTTTGTCACTCCGCATTTGATTAGTATCCTGAGAGCGAGCTCGCAAAAACGGTTCTGGAGAGGTGTTACTCTTGCCAGAACCTCGAGACTCATGCTATGCGTTGAGTGCATACAGCGGAGAGCAATACGCAGAAAACGATATTGAATTCGTTCCAATTTCATTAGGTGACATTTTCTTGCCGAGAGAAAGCAGAAAGAGCCGTACTCTAGAACAGAGAGAATTCGACAGTGAGCATTCATAAGGGCGAATACGCGATGATCGATTCTCTTCATCGATTTTCTCTTTGCATTGCTACAGCTAGGCGAAACAATTTTCTAGAATTTGTTCAATGCAGAGTAGTAACAGGTTGTATTGGCTATCGAAAGCAACAGCAAACGCACCGAGAAACGTTAAGGTTCAATTTACTTTGATACTTTTTGGAAAATTTCAAAAGCAGTTTTTTCCGACGCATTATTTCAGATTGCAAAAAGCTCGCACTATTCGATTCCTTTTGATATTTTACACAAAATGACGCGAGTTTTTTGCAATCCAAAATAATGCGTCGATAAAAACTGCTTTTGAATTTTTTAAAAACGCATTAAAGTAAATTGAACCTTAAATCTAGCGAGTTATTAACAAAAGAGAAAATCGACGAAGAGAATCGATCATCGCGTATAGGCCCTTATGCATGCTCACTGTCGAATTGTTGTTTTATAAAGCGTTATGATGTCTCCCGGATGAGCACCCCACCATGTGCCGCAAATTGAACGGAGAAAGTTGATCATCTGTTGACATTTTTGCTTCAAATACGTAATATGGGTATTCCAAGTGCACTTTGAATCAAACCAGACCCCAAGGTACTTGAAAAACAATGATTGAGTAATGTTTCTGCCCAAAAGATTAAGCTGCATTTGGGCTGGGTACCGCTTTCGAGTAAACACTATCAGTTCAGTTTTCTGCGGCGGATCGATCATTAGATTTCTAGCAGAAGACGACAAGTTATCTAAGGAACTTTGCAATGGTCCTTGCAGGTCCACGACATGTGGACCTCTTTCGGGAACTACACCGTCATCTGCAAGTTGTCTTAGCGTACATTGTTCTGCCAAACAGTTTTCGATAGTTTTAACATATAAGTTATAAAGAAGGTTGGTTGGTTGTCTTTATTACGGAGGATCATCTCCGGACAGTTATAAAGAAGAGGGCTGGGACATGAACCTTGGGGCAGGCCCATGTAACTGATTCTGGAAGTTGTCAGTTGTCCAAGGGAAAACAGTAGAAAGGTCTGTGCCTAGAGGCACGAACGGAAGCATTACGTAGGACCGCTAGTGGACTGAACAAATGTGAAGAGCATTTAGTTCTTTTAATTGATCAATAATCAATTATCTTAACTCTCTCCGTTTTTGATTTGTAAGCGTACCAAATTTGTGGTATTTTTTTCAAAGAGAAAGTTGATGAAGATAATCAATCAAAATCACTTGCACCCCTGCTTCCAAGTTTGATTACAAGATTACAACTCTGTAGAGCATTTTGTGTGGTTGTTGGGTGCCTGTGGTTCTGATTATGGACAAACAGGCACAGATAAATGCTATACCAACTCTTTACTATTATAAGCTTGTTGGCCCTAAAAAGGGCCGTTTTATTATAGACGACATCCATGGCCGCTTACGCGTGGCGTGTTCAGAGTAGGTGACAACATCACGGATCACATTTTCCAGGAACACCTTCAGCACACCTCGTAGATCTAACCGGAGATAAGTTTGACACCACCACGGCGAGCCAGACGACGGATGGTGGTTATCTCGAAGAACTTTGTGATGACGCTTGGCACATCCTTCACCAAGACCTTATCCTCCTTTGCCACGACCAATCAATTGTTGCTTGTTGGGTGTAGAAGAGTGGACTAGCCTCCACCTTCCTACTGCTGCTATTGCTGACCACCACGCCGTCCGAAGCGAAAATGAGCTGATGACAGACAGCAGCACGTTTTTATATCTTTTAAGGTTAAAGCAGAATGATGTGCAACCAAGTGGTACTCGATTATGACTACTGGGTTTGGGAAGAACGATTATTTCATGAAAACAGTGATTAAATTATCCCTTTTTATTTGTACATTGGACAATGCTTGACATTACCACTTTTTTAATAGTTTCTCGTTAGTCGGAAGCATTGCTATAGATGCGTAGAAATATTTCTGATCGATTGGTCATAAAATTATTGAAATTGGTACAGGGGCAACTGAGTTATTAATGTTCAAAATCTTTCATAATTTTGTTTCATGTTCCATTTTCGGTTTTCACAAAGTTGACTCCCAGTATAGAAATTAAAGACGTAGTCCTACGTCAAAATCATTTGCTTTTCTGACAACAAATTGTACAAGAAATTATTTAAAATTCCTTAATATCCACATCTGTGCAGATTGTCGAACTGAGTCCGGACAGACCTTTTTAGCGAATATCCATCGGTGGGAGTATTCTTCACTCTCATTAGAAGATGAGCGGTTACGCATGTTGCGATCCACCCTCCACAAGGTGTTCATTAACGGCGCCGGTTGTGTAGTGGTAAGCGTTCAATCCCAGTCGGCGCCGCCGGGATGTTCTGAGGCATAACATCTCTGATCACGCCTTCCTTCGGATGGGAAGTAAAGCCGTTGGTCCCCGGTTCATGAGTTGATGGGTCGATAGGTAGGGTCCAGGTGTGGGAGCTGCCTTCCTGGCCGTCGGTAGCATTGGTGCTCAGCACGGAAAACAAGATCGACGGAAAAAACAAACCAAAGGAAAAAAAAAGGTGTTCATTGGGGTTTCTTGTGAAAGTCCCTTGACGAAATTGCGCCAATAACCGCGTTTTTTGCTTTACCCTAATTGTGTCAGCTTTGTCTCAAGCTTTGAATATTCCTCAACGTATGTGGAGGTTTTGTGTCTACGAAAAGCTTTGAAAGCATCAGATTTTTCTACATGCAGTTTTGTGCATTCTTCCTCCCATCCAGGTGTGGCTGGTCTCCTGTTGAAGGGTGCTCTTGGAACTTTTCTTTTTTGAGCTTCCAGTGAGCTTTTGTATATCAAATCGGCGAGGAATCGATATTCTTCCAATGGTGGAAGCGTATCTATTGATTCGACACCGATTGTTACCGCCGTTGCATATTTTTGGCAGTCAACATCGACTACAAGGAACATCCCATCCAAATGGAACTCGAGATGGTTCTACAGATTGAGGGCCACGCTTAATTGAAATGATGATTGGAAAATGATCGCTACCATGGGGATCATTGATAACTTTCCACAGACAATCCAATGATAGTGATCTTGAACACAAAGATAGGTCGCGTCTTAGCTATACGTGTCACTTCACCAGTGTTCAAAATAGTCAAGTTGAAATCGTCACATAAATCGTAAAAAATAGCCGCTCTATTGTCATCGTATAGATCGCCCCACCCAGTACCATGGGAGTTCATATCACCCATAATTAACACTGGGGATAGAAGAATCGAAACCAGCCCCTCCTTGCATCAATCATATCTTTCGATGGATTCATCGGGCAAGGTCGAAGATATGATCGCTGTGCTATAGTGGAACTTTAGTGCCTAAACTAGACTAGTTCAAATTTTAACTCTACAATTCTGATTGTGATATATTCGCTCTCTGAAAAACTTGGCTTTTTCTGATAAAGAACTCAAACATAAAGTAAACAATATGTAACTATTAAAAAAAATTACTGAAATTATCTCTTTATAGAAATATAAAAATAAAAACAAAAAAACCCTCCCAACAATCGATTTTTTTTCACTTACACTTACGACACTTAGTTTTTTCTACCGAGCTCGGCTGTGCAAATCTCGGCAAAAATAAGTTTCACTGAAATTTCAACAAAAGCAAACAAATGAAATGTTTGCTGAGATCTCAGTAAAACTTTTTTTGCCGAGATTTGCACAGCCGAGCTCGGTAGAAAAACTAAGTGTGCAAGATAATCACGACGATGTGTTATCTTTCTAGTCCCATCCTATTAATCTCATCAGGTCCCGTGACCATTCTTCACATAAAAAAAACACGCTTACCGCATTTGGTGAAACCTCCCACAACTTACCGTATCCGCGAGTTCTGCCCGGCACTCCCGAATGGATTCCTTCTTGCTTTGATTGGAACTGGCAAGCGCAATGGTCGAAATTATAAAAGCGAACAGTGCTACACTGAGGATCGTCGCCAATTTGTTGTTCAAGATACCATCTATTACGAATTAGGAAATGACATTTCATTTAAAAGGCACATTACAATTAAATGGGTACCGCACCAGTCGGCCATGATTCACTTTCTTTGTTTGTCTGTCCGATTGATAAAAATCAATCGATCGTTGTAACTTGGAGTTCAATTAGAACAACATATTTTTTTTTTTTCGCAGTGTGCAGTGACATGGTTTGCGGGTTTTCAATTCCTGTATCAACTCACCTCTACACTGTCTAAGCAAATCATTTGCAGCCATCTTGAAATGTGATTTTCAAATTGAATTAAACAATTTATTCTAGCTCAAAACGCACTCCCACACCGTCGTACCATATTCGTATCAACTGACTGCGAATCTAATTCGAATTGCTTTCTCAAAAACCTGCTCGATAGCTCTGTAGAGCCGATAAGAGCCCATCCAAATGTTGAATAGAGATAATAGGCCTGTATACTTTTTTCCGCCGATAACCGCTTATCTTCATGACGACATATGGGGGTCTCGATTTTTAAGAACATCCAACCGGTAAAGGTAGTAGTTTCAATTGCTAGATGTATGCAATTAGGTTGTTAGGGATATTGAGGTAAATACATATTCGTAAGGCAGCGTCCATTAATTACGTAACGCTAAAAATCGAAATTTTTTGTAACAAAACGTAACGGGGACAGTAACTCCCCTTTATTTGATACGTAACGCTCTTAAAGCCCTCTCATTTAATGAAAATCAGATTTTTCAATAAATTTTGTTTTGGTTATAACTTTTTCTTTTAAAGGTGATTTAACATATTCAAAATAAAAACAAAAGATAAGCGTAGAGAACGACGAGGTAAGATGACCGACCTAAGTTAAAAGTTAAATTTAAACAAAACTATTCAAAATTTCCGCGATAAATTAAGTGAATATTGATCTTTAGCGTACTTTCCATAATAACATTGATTTTCAGCAATTTTTCTTTTCTTTTGATGACGTTTTTAAATTACATTATTTGTACAGGTTCAATCGAATAAACTTTACAGAGCCATGTTATCATTTACGTTATAAATTATTAATGTCCTTAAATCTAAAATTAAAGGATTTGAACCGATTACTCGCGGTTTTCACTAGGTTAGTGGATGATAATTGTATGGATGTCTTCAGAAAAGTTGTACAGTTGGTCAAGGCCGATTGGTTGGAGCACAGTTCAGAATTATCACACTATGTGGCGCTAATGTGCATGTCAATTTCCAGTATAAACTATATCTTGGAATCTTGACTATATAGGAAGATTCTGTTTTCGGCAAATTTAGTTCAGCTAACCAAGTACTTCTAAATTGTGGGCAGGTTAGTTCAAATTTCTCTCACTACGTAAACTCATAAATTAACCACTTTTATGGAGACCTAAGACGCACACATTCATCAGGATACACTTTTATGGGTATTCCGGATCTTCCTGGAGATCCCTGAATTCATTCTGATACCAGATCTAAAAATGTTTTAGTTAAAGCCTAATGTATTTCAGAAACGAGATATTGTTACATACTGCATTCAGTTACAACCTTGAAGTACATCCAAAAGTGGCCGTCTTACCCCGATATAAGTAAAGCTATAACTGCTCCTCATAAGGATTGATACATATATTATGTCACGCTCTAAAGGGGGTGGGGGGGGATAGTGGTTTAAGATTTTGTGACAAACAATGCATTTGGTATGGGAAAAACTTCACGATAGGGGGGGTAAATTTCTCCTCGATTTAGAGTGACATAATTAATGCATGGGCCCTAATTTAAAGATTTATTTTATTTTATTTTCTCTGTAAGTACATCGAAAAAGACTTGCGCTTTCATAATAGTAACAGCCTTTTTACATGATAAATTATATAACAGCTATAAGCCATTCAATTTTGTAAACACAAAACAGCAAATGATGGCCGTTGCCGTACATAATGCTTGTTTTTGTTGCTCATCTTGACGTTTCACCTGATGTCAAGCTAAAATTAGTTTTGCAACATCAACTAAACTATACCAAAGAACTCGACATCATTTATTTGTTTATTGTTCCAATAATCCAAAGGATGGCCGTCTTCCCCCATCGTCCCTACCAGCGAGTACCTGGTTTTCAAAAGTTTAAAGCCGCTGACAGAGTGAAAACTGGCTTGGTTTTTAAATAAATCGTTCACTGTTCACTTGTAAATCTTTCGGAATATCCTCAATCGCGTCCCTCAAACTATCTACCATCCTCACAAAGCGTCTCATTCACTGACATAGCCTTGCGGAATGGATCGTTGCTAGTGACGAATGCAATGCCAGCACGTATGGTGGGGGATATAATTATCTTCCAATACCACTTTGGTGCTCTGATGCCGCCAGCTTCAAGTGTTATCGATATCGATTGTCCGTCAACATGTGGCAATAGCAGAATATCATGCACTCCGTCATACACGAATACATCCTCTCAATGTTGGGCCGCTTTGGAGAGAGATAGATTTTCCACCACTAGCCAATTTCCGGCGTTGACAACCTGTGGAGTATCTGAATGTTCACTTGAAAGTACTAATCTTTAATCTATATACGATGTTGTGCATACCTGCCACTGCGGGGTAACGTTTACATAGAAGAAGGTGGCCTACCGCCAGGATCTGTAGATGTCATCAGTAGTCGGAGCCAAATGACCACGATTCAGATAATATGATCCACCTTGAAGACATTGTTTGGCTTGGTCCTCAGATCTTAGCAGCTCAATAAATCTGTTGAACTGGGTAGACTGAGCGTACGAAGTCGCTGGACTGACATACGAAAAAGTTCCAGCTATCTTGAATGGAGGTCGGTAAGCTTCCTTTATTGAATCTGTAGAATAATCCTCCTTCAGCAAGATGTATCATAATATCATGTTAGGTATCTTGCACTTGATGGATGCAACAGGTATCACATGTTTTGTATAAACTACCGATGCCTCTGGTCTATCATAGCACGATTCGATGTACGTCAGAAAACCCAATCCTTCGACATCAAACCCAAGCTTCAACAAGGTTCCACTGGTCCCACATTTGTCACCAGTCTCTTCAACTTCTCCAGTCATTCGCCCAGAGCGTTCCAATTCTGAAGAGTTGACCGGTGTACCATCGACCGTGTTGTTGTCCACTACAACGATAATTACTACATATCAACACACTGATATAAACTAATCAATCAACAAATTAGCGTGCGTGAGCGACCCACTAGCGAGCTTTCCTACTCATCCCATTTGAGTGCAGGTCCATCTGGAGCCCACAGCTGATCGTTCTTGATGAACAGCGGTTCTAATGGTCCCAAATGGTCTTGCAGGTCGAACCAGTTGTAGCACATCAGAAAATAGAATGAACCCGAGTCCTGCCAAGTGGAATGATGAAAAGTTACTGTAAGTAATATCTGGTTACAGGGGATCGTTACCTTTTATAGTCTGGCTCAAGTGTGCAACGTGCACACAAGTGCATAAAGAGAAAGAGATACCGCTAAAGCGTGCAAGCTGATAACTATCAGCTGTAGGCAATCAAGTTGTAACTTGATTGGATTTTTTTGGATTTATACATACATTCATCTTCCAATCAAGTGATGTCATTTTAGATTATATGCCTATATCCAGATCACCCCTTCTACCCTTGATCATACACGAATAAACAAACAAAACAGAACGCATGCGGCACCAGCCTGCGGTTGTGTATCTTCGTAAATAGGTACATAACTCCACCGTACAGCTTGTTTTTTTTTATTGCTGCGATAACGCAGCGTCAAACATATTACGTGAACTTGAAGATAATCTTGCGTGAATAAAACTGGAGAACTGTTACGGTTTAAATTATTCTGCAATCTGAGGTCGACTGAAACAAATGACGTGAATCTTTTCCGCCTTATAACCACTCCAACACAAATATAACGGGGGTCTCAGTAAGCCTAGTCAGGCATGGTATTGTCAAGCCGGAGAGGGCGGGTTCGATTTCCGGTCCGGTCAAGGAAATGTTTCGGGTTGGAAATCTTTTCGACCTTCCTGGGCATAGAATATCAGTACCTATGGAGAACATATGACATCTGATATGTATGGAAATGGATCGTAAATGATGCATGCATCCTTTACAAGCTAGTTAGATAAGGCCTAGAATCCCCACTTCCCGAACGACTTCGAGAGACTATAGACTATTACATTAGTGAAGGTCTCAACATTACCATCCGCTTGAGCACGGAGGGCTACAAGCCGATAATCCCGACGAAGAACCACTACAAGGCGGTTCAAGCCATGCTGGACAAACTAAAGGTTAAATGTTTCTCCCACGATCTCGATGTCAACAAGCCGCTCAAAGTGGTCCTGCGTGGCCTTCCGGACATGGACACTGTCTGATGAATTGAAGGCGAACGACGTCAAACTGGCAAGATGGCTCGTCATGACGCCACTCATAAGTATCGTGATTAACTGTATCTGGTCCACCTCGAGAAGAATTCAACGTGCATGAGGAATGTTCGAGCCCTATTCCACATCGTGACGATATGAGAACGGTACAAGCCAGTCCACCTCAACGTCATCCACTGCTTACTTACAACAACCTGCATCACTATGTTAAGCCAATTCACTCGGTCCAGGGCTGCTTGTCTTCAATTTATTGATCGTCGTACCCTTCCAAGATTCTGCTCCACCTTGCCCGCTGAGCTCCTCTTCGTCTTGTACCGGCCGGATTCGAGGCAAACACCATTTTTGCGGGATTGTTGTCCAGCATTCTTAAAACGTGTCCCGCCCATCGTACCCGTCCAGCTTTCGCAACTTTCTGGATACAGGGTTTGCCATAGAGTTGCGCCAGCTCGTGGTTCATCCTTCACCTCCATACACCGTTCTCACATACCCCTCCAAAGATGGTCCTAAGCACTCGTCGTTCGAAAACACCCAGTGCTTGCAGGTCCTCCACGAGCATCGTCCACGTCTCGTGTCCGTAGAGGACTACCGGTCTTATCAGCGTCTTTTACATGGTACATTTAGTACGGAGGTGAAGTTTACCAAACCTCAGGGTCTTGTGGAGTCCGTACACACTTAGAAATTTTTACAGAAATCTGTAAAATTTTACCGAAATCTCAACAGCTGAACGTTCGGTAAACAGTTTCGCAGATTTCCTGTAATTTTTCACAAATAGCTGTGAATTTTTCACAGATATCTGTAACTAATTACAGGAAAACTGTAAAATTGTTTACCGAACGTTCAACTGTTGAGATTTCGGTAAAATTTTACAAAAATTTGTAAAATAATCTTAGTGTGTAGTAAGCACGACTTCCGCCAATAATACGCCGACGAATTTCTCTGCTGCAGTTGTTATCCGACGTCACCAATGGTCCGAGGTACACAAATTCATCCACCACCTCGAACTCATCTCCGTCGATTGTCACGCTTCTGCCTATGCGAGCCCTATCCCGCTCGGTTCCTCCAGCTAACAGATACTTTGTCTTCGATGTATTCACCTTTAATCCAACCTTCTCTGCTTCACGTTTCAGCCTGGTGTACTGCTCCGCCACGGCCTGAAACGTTCTTCCGACAATGTCCACGTCGTCAGCGAAGCAGATG